TGTAGTGGAAGGTGTCCCTGCCCACGGCAGGGGGATGAGCTTTAAGGTCCCTTCCAACCCAAACCAGTCTATGATTCTGTGATTAAGGACCCAGGTCTTGGAGGAAACTAGTGTGTTTTTTGTTTTTTTTTTAAATGACATAGCTGACATACTATGTATTCAAAAAACGTCTCTCAAATCTGATCTATTATAAAGGAGCCCAATTCCAGGACTGTACACCCAAAGCATGTATATTTAGTTTGATTTTTAAATAAACTCATTCTGCTGCTCTGCTGTTTGAATGCATCAATAAATGCCAAGGTACCGCAAGGGTCAATGCTGCAGTGTGTACACAATCAAAGTAATTTATTATGGTGTTGTTTCACAGGTGTCTATAGAATAGTGCACTCAGCAAAAAGGAAAAAAAGCTGTGAGGAAGCATACCGTTCATCAGAATGACACCCCATGGTAATTATTTATGTTCTTCTGGGAACAGAGGTTCCAGGAGAAGGAACTCTCTGTTACAGCAGCCTCCCTTCAGAAAAGTAAAAAATTATAGCGCTTATGTAAAAGATCAGCAAATTACAAGATTCTAAGCCAGAATTCCAACAGTTTATTTTCAAATGTAAGAGAGGTAAAGCACATATTTCACACTGCAAATGTGCATGTAACTTATCATGTTACTTGTGTGCTCTTGTGAGGCGCCATGTTTAAGTGCTAAACTAAGGCATGCTACTTTTCCTGTGTGACTACAGAAACATGATCTTTTGGGTTTTGAGGGAATATGCAAGTTTGCTTTGTTTTATAGCACCTCAGCTTTGCACAATACTTTCTGACTCAGCACTAAAGTTTTATACTGCAGTCGCAGTTTCTAAAAATTTAGCACAAATTATCCGTCCTTAGTTTCCACCTAGCTACATTCCTCAGAGAAATGAGCTGCCCCCATCCTATAATGCTTTTGTTCCACCCAGAGCACAATACTTTGCAGAAAGTGCCATAACAGCATTGATTTTGACAACATCAGTTCTCCTCCCCAGCTAGAAAGCCACCCTCTTCTGGCATTTCCACCAGGTGACACACCTGAAAGTTCATTTCTGAGTTAATGGGGATTACTGGTTACTGTACTGTAAGTAGATCTCACTTCTCAAATATTTAATGTTTTACTTTCTCTTAAGATATAAGAAAACATATATGAATATATAAAAGGATATATAAAAATATAATAAAATATATAATAAATACAGTATATAATAACAAAATCTATAATAATATATAAAATATAAAAATATATAAACTTCACACAATTTATTTTTCAAAACGTTTAGTAAGGAAGCGGTCTTCAATCTTAGTTCTTCAGAAAATAATGAGAAACAGGCTTTCAAAACTGCATTTGCATGAAATTAAAGGGTCTTACAAAATCAGGCATCTGTTGCATTACTTACTGCATGCCACATCTGGATTTTGCAAAAAATGTTTCATTTAAAAAAGAAAAATTTTGTTTAAATCAAAGAGAAGGGGTTTGCCTGTGGATTTTAGAAGTTAAAGGTCTCACATTGCCAGTGGCCTCTGTGAAATTCAGACACCAGATGGCCCCATAGCACGCACTCATCTAACACAGATTCCAGTTTCCCTTTAGGGAAATAAGTAGCTCTACAGCTTTACTCTCAAAGCTACGACTGCTTAAAGTTTTAGAAGGAAAACTGCCTTGGATTGTATCAGATTTATATACGTGTGTGTATACATATAGGTAATTGCTCAGCTATAAGTGAAGTTCTTTGAACTGCATACATATTTTACTGCTCATTCATGCATGTGCACTTCACCCCTCTAGACTCAGTTTTCCTTATGTTACTACGTATATGGTGCTCATGTTTTGGTATTTCTTTTATATCAGATACTGGCATAGAAAGGAAAATAAATTTTTGCAGTGTTATAGAGCAGCCTAGTTCTGCAGAGCCATTCTCTCAGCCACAACAATGTCCCAGAAAACTACAGTTTTCAGTGGCTTTCCTGCTGTTTCTCAAGCTTTTTGCTGTCAGTCCTAAATGAGGTACATTTTAGCTATCTCAAGGCATCTTTCTATGGGGCCCAAAATCCATTTGGCTGGCCTTTGCCTTTTGCTGATTTTGTTCTGAACAGAATTTGCCTACAGGACGGTTCAGTTGGCTTTGTCTGTTATAAGGAAAACATCCATTAGTAGCACAGCCAGATTACACTGTGTGAATATGTAGGGCTTTGGGGAAAGAAATTTAAAAAAACCCCAAACAGCCATGCACAAATAAAAATATGCATAAACACACACCAAAAAAAAACCAACCACAAAAAAAAAGATTCATGGGTAGCTTCACATTAACTCTTTTGCACACTTCAGTAGGGCTTTGGAACATGTCCTCAGGGTACTTGATCTGGTTCATACATTTGTAATGGGTGATAGGCCATTGGCTACCAAAGGACTTTGATAGCAATGGCATCAAAAAGACAATTCTGCTGGTCCAAATGAGGGACCTATACCAGCTGAAAGAGCTAGACTGAAGTGACTAGATGGGAACCTTCAGCATGAGTATGCTTAATCTACCTCAAATTTGCAACAGTCATCAACATGAAGAACAGGATCTAATCCAGCTCATCATTCCAGAAGAAAATACCAACAGGATATTGCAAGTGTTTCTCCTTGTACCAAAGGGAGTTTAACTAAAGCAGATCATGAACTTCATTTACCTAACTCACACTACCATGAAGTAGTAACAAGCAAGATCACTTTATGCAGCATTTCTCCAGCTTAAACACTAGCAAGTAAAGGGAGCACAAATGCAGCCTTCACATCTTTCCTTCCTTCTCTTCAGAACAGCAGATCCAAAAAGAGATCTAAGGGCTGCAGTTAAAGGTATAAAACCTATAGGGCATCCTGACTTGTTTCAGCTACAGAAAGATCATGATGAGAACATGGAGGAGAAAAGAAAGTTATTCTGTTGACTGAATAGCTGAACTTTCATAGGATCATAGAATAGTTTAGGTTGGAAAATACCTTTAAGATCAAGTCCAGCCATTAAGTTCTGTTGAGTACATGTGGTAAATTGTCACAATATAATAAATTGTGCTTTTCAGACAACCAGACTTACAGTATATGATGAGGGACAGAGCATTTTGGTGACTACTATAGAAAACCTGTTAGGAACAAGACAATACAATAGCCACATAATTGCTAGAAAAGTATGGACAACTTTGTGTAGATCATGATAGTTGCACTACACAATATATTTCTAGCAAAGAAAATGGAAATATGGTTGCAGGAAATTTTGTTAGGGAGTTGCACACTGTCAGCACAGGGTTAAAAGTACAGAAAAGCATGGCTTCCCCTGGTTAGGAATGTCATGTGGGATTAGTAACTGGAACCCTAACTAAATCACCTAGAACATGCCAGAGAGGCTATTAGGCTACCTGTTAATGATCCCATCTTTTCTATTAGGGTCTAATAGCTAGAAAGCTAGACCAGGAAGGAGGAAATCCCAACTTCATCCTCATTCAGAATAAAACACGCAGTTTTACCACAGGGTGTAACACCTACCAACAATGAAGGCAGTTTTGGAGTAGGAGAGAAAAATATCTTCCATATCTCCTTTCAAAGCTTTACTCATGGATAGTAAGTGATTTAAGATTCCTTGGGACAAGAAGGTATGACATTGTATAGTTTGATGATTAAAGATACTTACCTGAGGGAGTCTTGGGCTGTCTTTGTATTTTATTGTCCAGCTGTAATGCTACCATCTCTCAAAAGAAAGTCGTAACTAACATCTCTGCAGAGCTTGGTCTTGTATGAACAAGTATGGTAGATGCCACAAGAATGCACTTATGAGACGAAGCTGAAGTGGAAGGATTAGTATATGTATATGATTAGGCACCAGCATCAGAGTGGCAGGAACTGAAGCCACTTTGGAACATGCAGGGAACTGCAGCTATTAAAAAATCTTTTAAAAAACAAATATGGAGAAAAAAAAAATTAATTAAGTGACTCCAATGAGATGAAACCAATTAAGTTTGTTAGATGGGTCTAAAATTTGTTGACAAGATGTAAGCATAGAAAATATTGGTACACAAACAAATTTCAAACAAAGTTGCAAAGAATAAAACTGTCTGAGGTTTATCCAAAACTACTCAGGCAGTGTCACAGCTAGGGAAGAGTAGGAAGCCCGAAACTAGGGTCACACCGAAACTAGGGTCAGAGTGAAGAGGTCTTGAATGCCCAACAAAGCAATGGATTAGAAGCAGCTATTTATGTCTTTATAATAGCCTGAGATAAAAACTACTATTTATGTGTTGGTAGAGCTAAAACATAAATCTTTTGAAATAAACTCTCTTCCCCTCGCCCCCCCCGAAAGATGACAGCAGAAAAATATCTATGCATGTGAAAAAGGCAGTGTATGTTTATTTAAAATAAGTACTCATACAGAAGGGCATCAATATACACGGAGAATTCAGCCAGACTCTTGCTCCAGGTTATCTTTCCCTCACAAAAAGTATTACAAGCTGAATATTAGACTTGCTATTTGGCAATGTCAACGTTGCAAAAGAAGTATGTATTTCCATTAGGAGGGACTTGTTACATCTCAATTCTTGGCTCACCTCATTTTACATGACACCCACAGTTAGAATACAACTATGAAGTTGGAAACTGCAATATTCACAGATGTTGGTTCATGCTCAAATATAATATTTTTGTAATAAACCCAAACCTACCCACATGCAATGAGAGCCATCTTTAAATTGGCTGATTAAGGTTTCAACTGTAAAAGCTTACTCTATTTAATTTTGAACCAGACCCTTCACTGTATTACCCAAAATAATGGAGCACAAAGATGAAGCCATCCGCTTCATTTTCTCTTTAATTTATAGTTCAAAAAGAGATGCTGAGATAGCTTTAACACTCAGATCCAAGAGTCTCAGTGCTTAAATCACTACTAAAGCCCTTGTCAAAGGTTCAAAAGGTGTTGTGCGTTTGACCCTAGCCAGCAGCCAAGCTCCTCTCCTCTCCATCACCAGGAAGATGAAGAAGAGCAGCAGCAAATGCAAGAAAACTCACCAGCTGGGACAAAGACAGCTCAATAAATGAAGGAAAGAGGGGAAAAAGCCCACCAAGTGATGTTAAAGCAATCACTCACTACCTTCCACAGGCAAACCAATGCCCAGCCAAATCTGCAAACAATAGCCACCTTGGAAGGCAGCCCCCCTACAAAATCCTCCTTCCCCTACTCTGTTCTTATTGCTGAGGATGACGATATGCAATATAGAATAGCCCTTTGTCCAGTCAGGGTTGGCTGTCCCAGACATGTCTCTCCAGGTCTCTTGCCCACCATCAGCCTAATTGCTGTGGGGGCAGAACAGGAAAAAGAGAAAGCCTTAACCCTGTACAAGGACTGTTCAGCAACAGCCAAAACACTGGTGTGATATCAACACTGGTTTTTAGTTACAAATCTGAAACACAGCACCATATGGGATACTATCAAGAAAGTTAACTCCATCTCAGCCAGACCCAGTGCACAAATAAATCCCAAGAGTTCAGCTATTAATCTGCATGAGATATAGCACACCATAGCTTGCTATTTGGAAGCCCAAAATAAAAATCAGCTTAACTACTGTAAAATGCTTTCAGCATATAAAACTGTGTGCCAAATTTATCAAACCTGAAAGCAGTCCACTACAGTCAATACTGTTCTCAACATTTGCAGTAGTGGCTTTGACTGGTTTATTTATAAAACAAGTAAGCCTAAGGCCTTCCCCAAACATACAACTTTGCTTGTGGGACTTACGTTCATGTTATTAAAACTGATCTGTTTTCCTCTTGCAGTTTTGATATTAGTATTTACTGTTTACTCCCAGCAGGCTGTAGACAGTATTGTACAGTAGGTATGCATAAATAGAATCATAAATAAAAAAGCTAACAAGGTGCTCAGAAAGACAGCTCAGTCACTTTGCCACTGCACATAAGAACTCAGTTTATGATGCTTGCTTATGCTAGTTCCAAGGGGGGAAAAGTATAATTAAATACATAACATCATAAACTACAGTATCTATGCATGTCTTCTCTTGCCCGTAAGTAAATATCCTGGGAAGAGAGAGCAGAAGTGATGATCTGTAGAAGTCAGCAGTGTCTCTTCACAGACCTTGAGAGCTCCTCAGTGTCTGTAGGAACAACTGTTCATTAAAGCCAAAATATCCCAAACAATGCTACTCCCAAAGACAGTAATTTTTATTAATCTACCATTAAACTTACTTCTGTTAAGGGTAAAGGTGTTGATCACCACAGATATTTAAACCTGAACATGTTCAGGAGTTGAAAGTCTAAACAATGCACAGATTTCTGGCACTTTGTATGTTTAAAAGCAAATGCAGTTCCTTGGTGCTTTTTTGGGAAGCTACTCCTTACCTTCAGAAAGTAATACAGGAGAGCCAGTAAAAAGGTCTCCATAAATAAAACAAAAAAAGCCACTGTAGACAGACTACCCATAAAAATTAACCTGTAACACTGATAAAACCAAATTTAGAATCACTAAATACTTTTACATGTAAAGGCTACTCCTGCAGAGCAGTAAGGCTCTGCCAGTACAGGTTAGTACTGGCAACTCTGAGTTTCTGGAGCAGAAGTTGATTTGGGGCTCTATCCCAGGGGAAAGCATTCTCCCAGCAAAACTCGGGAGCTTCTCTTCATGTAGCAACAGCTTTCTAGGAAAGACTGGGCTCTAAGCAAGGTTGTCTGCCCAGGATTTTAAAAGTAGCATTGCTCACTGAAGAAATCCGTCTTGAATTTGAAAGGCTAAGGCACAATGAGAGCAAGGAATCAAGGCCATGATTTTCCACATCCAACTTAAACTAAGAAGGCTCCACTTCCAAGTGAGCAGAAGCCACTTTAAGGTGTATGGGGGGCACAGTGAACACTGATAATGGCAGTTGTCAAAGCTAAACATGATTAGAAATTTCTTTCTCTTTCTAATACATGCAGATGACTCAAATCTGGGTTCCAGGACAACGGTGAACTAAAACCCACTTTTGTTTGAGGTATTATAAATTTTACAGCTTGTGCACAGCTCTATTGCTTGCCAAGAGCCTCAATGCAGATGTGCCAGAACCACAGACAGATGTTTCTTGGGCAGGCTTTGCTCCCTTGAAAATGAGTGGCAGCAAAAGCAGCAGCCCTAGTTCCCCTTTCCTCTCTCCCAACTTCCCTGCAGCAGGTCAGCCTAGTAGCAAGCAGGGATGTTACTCTCTATTCTGGCAATGCTACACAGCAAGCAAGCTCACTTCTAAATATATCCAAATATCAAAATCACAAAATACAGTTCTTACTCTAAGTTATGCAACAAAATGTAGGTTATACCTAATATTTCATGGTAAATGTAGTGTTATTAAACTTTTTTCCTTGTCTTCAGTGTAGCAGTTACAAGAGGCCCACAGGAACAAAATTCAGACTTCCACAGAAAGTAAGAATTATGTTTACTTTCTGGGTTTTTTACTCCCTGTCATAACAAAATAGTGATCATCTTGCCTGCTCCTCATAAGAGGACTTTTTGATACACCAGGCATTCCTTTGTTAGACGTCATTGCTGATTTTCCCTTAGGGAGAGGCTTCTTGGCTGCTGGGGCCAAGACTTCATTTACTTGCAAGTTTTTTGTTGAAGGCTGTGCTGGCTTTTTGGTCACTGCCTCTTTGGCTGAAGTTTGAGGAAGCCGTACAACAGATAAAGGAGTGCGTTCAGGAGGCTTGGATGAAGCGGGTCCAACCTGAGGGGGTTTACTGGCATTAGGCTGCTTATTGACAGCAGATGATACATTTTTGCTTGCAGATACCAGTGTAGGTGGTGACTTTAATGCTTTGTTAACTTCAAGGGAAGGTGCAGAAGCTGAGTGTTTTAGGACTGAAGGACTTTTCAGGTTCCTTGCCCGATCAGTAGCTGTTTGTGGAGCTTTCTGAGGATGCCGACACCTAGTTCCTGAGGTCTGAACAGCATTTTCAGAATGAGGTTTTGCAAGGAGCTGCTGAGATTGTGCAAACTTGGCAACAGCACTCAGGTTTGTCACAGGTGGCTGGGCAGCCTTTGGACCAACTGAATTCACTTTGGGTTTCATGTCAGATACAGGTTTGCATTTAGCAGGGACACGCTTTTGTATTGAAGTGATTGTTCCAGCTGTCCCAGGCAAGGGAGATGGCTGTTTTCTAGGGGATGAGGATGCAGGATGTAGCGTTGGTGCTGGGGAGCCCTGAGGCAGGGTAAATTTCATCTTGGGAGCATCAGGGGACCAAATACGTTTGCGCAATGTTTCAGAGTGAACAAGAGCTGTTCTTGCTCCTGCAGCTGAAGAGCTTTTGCTTAGAGGCTGCGAAGGAGCAGAAGCTGGTGAACTGTGTGCAGAAGACTCCAGTTTCTTTGAGGTGCCAGGTAATGGTTTCAGAGGAGACCCTTGTAATTTGGACTTGACTCTCAATGACTTGGCTGTAGAGGATGGAAGCACTGGCACTTTTGATGATGCCAGGACAGGGGACTGAGGACGTTTAGGTAAAGCCTTCTTGGCACTGGCCCCAGGAGTTGAAACAGGAGTCAGTGGTTTTGATGGCTGCTTTTGAAACATACTGACAGCTGACATTGGATTCATAACAGGAGGCTCCTGAAGTCTAGCTGATGAGCTGGGGACACTGTCGCTGGTGACTCCTTTCTGAAACGCCAGGATTTTTTGTTCCAGAGTTGCAAACTGAAGCACTCGGCATGGGTCATATTTAAGTAGAAAACCTTGAAGAGTGTCCCAGCCTCCACCAACACGGACCATCACATGCTTGCCATGTAGCATCTGAGAATGGAGGAAGAGGGGGGAAAAAGAGAGCAGGAGAAGAACAAGAGAGGATTCTATCTTGTTTTATGCAGCATTATGTCTTCATGTTACATTAACATTTATTTAAATTGACCAGAAATAGGACCTCCTTTCTTACAGAGAAACATTTTTTTTTAAAATAGAAATTATGTGATAAATAAGGCTTATGCTTCCTAATTCTTTTATTAAACAGTTTCTCCTGCAGAGGCAGTTGTTATGTGCCAGGAAATAATGAAACCATATATTTAGAAGACACTTCAACCCTTCTGTCAGCATCTTTATTTAGTATATAGAGCTTTGGATACAGGTTTTGTCCAAATTGTGGATGTGTTTGTAACACGAACTCTTATGCCTGCTGAAAAGAGTGATCAAACATCCTACAAATTATAAACCCCCAAGTGTCCAGATTTTGAACAAGCAATGTTCTCAGAATATTCTATAGCATTATTCTTATTTATATTGCAAGTTGTTACTGAAATTTAAGAAACAGCACAGAGAAGAGTAACTAACTTGGTTTAATGAGATTGTAAAATCAATGGTTATGAGACCTAAGTAGCTACACCTACTCTGAATAGGCAATTGGATGACATTGTGTCCCAACATAAATCATTCTGTAATTCTAAAACAATACCATAGAAATGAGGCATGTCACTTAAAAGCATTTCTCTTCCCAACATGAATACAAATTGGAATTCTAAGAAAGTACTTACTCTTATGAAGAGTATTTTATCTCCCAGTCTATAACGTCCCTCTGATAAGTATTCAATTGAAAATCGATGGGAACAACTGCAGGGAGGATCTTCTGCTATATGTTTAACCTAGTTATTAAAAATGAAAGCATTTTTACTTTGACAGAAGTTTGAGATATTTAATACACAAAAAGATACTGTTATCTTCATCCTATAACCTAAGATAATCCTAGAATTCGGTACCCTCACAATAAAATCTTAGCTACACAAAACCTCAAAATGTCAAATAAAAGATTAAAGAACAAACTGTATGCACAAACATTTTTAGTTGTCCCAATCCAATTTTCACAACTTCTTCAATTTGAAATTGTTTCTAATTTCACTTAAGATTTGTTCATAACACCATACATAGCAGCATCAGTTCCCATCACAACCTTGTAAAGACACTGTTACGGTCTCTAAAAATGGAAACAAGTGCCTGGGTTTCCCCTCTGACCAAATCCATTGCCACACCTGACCCAAGAGTACTTCAGAGTTCTCCCTAACTTTTATAAGTTAATCTTCTATGTGACACCCAAGAAGGAAACCACTTAAAAAAAGGTCCTCAGATAAGTCCGGGGTTAGAAAAGATGTGCCTCTTACAGACACTTAGAAACTTAAATCGCCAAGAAGGAAAAACAGTGAGTTTTCAGAGAGAGCGAGGATCTCGTGGCTGACTTTCCCAAAGAAGCAGACATTTTACATTAAAACATAGAGGACATTTAAAATAAATGCTTACTGAGTCAGATCACAGAAGTACCAAACTTAGAATTTTATGTAAAGCTCAGAACACAATAAACAAGTAGTACTTACTGCCTCATGCAGCTCCCCATGGTGACAACATGACTTTGCTGTGCTAACAGGTGATGGTGGCCCAGAAGTCATTAGCAGTGTTTCTTCTAGCTCAATTTCTTTCTCTAGTTTTACTAGCACAGGAGGTTCAACTCCATACCTCAAATTCATAAGTGGACAGTTTAATTGCTAATTTACTAAAGAAAACAAAAAGTGATGATAACAAACATGCAAAATTTTGAGTGGCTTGACTGACAGGGAACAATGCTAAATCAGTCAGAGGAATAACTGTCCTGATAACCCAAGAGAAGGAACAGCTTGAGTTTCTAGTAGAAGCCCCCTCTAAAGTGGTCTTGGAGCTACCAAAGACAACAGCAAAAATATAGTCCAAACTACATAATTTGGGCCACATTCAATTTAGATGAACTATCTTAAAGCTTCCAGCTCTGCTCTTGAAATAAATTAAAAGTCTAAAATTAGAGAATGATAGAGATATCTGCCAAAAAATCTTAAAAAGTAACAACCTTAAAACTGTATTTAATGTCAGTGAGTTTCTTCCATGATGTACACATATCTATAAGCTGAACACAGCTATAAACACCAGTGGATCAGCACCTTTCCATGGAAAAAAAATCTGACAAATATTTGAAAAAATACTTATATTGTACAATGGTCCTAGAAAAGTTCATCCCTACTTTCTGCACAGAATTAACATTTACTGCATTGCACTTAATGGCGACAGACTGTCTTAACTTTATCTTCGGTTTTACTTAAGAGAATGTGTTCCTCACTGTCTTGTTAGGAACATGCGCAGATCACATACCTGGACACAATGCGTCCAATTTCCAACAGACAAAGATACACTTGTCTTGGATCCTTGTGCAAAACTAAAAGGGAAGAGAATAAAAGGGAGTTACAGCTCGTATTTACTGTAGAGAGGCCTGTGCAATTAAGTACACAAAGGGGGGAAGATAGATGGAATAGATGATTAGATAGAAGGAATAGATGATCAACTTTGCCATCATTCTACCCAGAATTATTGCTTCTGCAAGCTACATTATCATTGATAAAGCATTACATGCTTTCCAGATCTAATTTTCTATTCCATAAAATGTTTAAACCCATCCTGGCACTCCTGAAATCAAATTCTTCTCTACCTCCTAAGAGAAATATGCTTCTCTTATGCTTAGGAGGAAAATCCAAGAGCTTTTCCTTTGCTATCCTCAAATACATTATTGCAGTCTTAAAGATGAAAAGTATTCAGCAACTGCAAATAGGAAAATACACTCCATCTGTCCTTGCTCGTGCATACAGACACAGATAAGCCCACACACTCTACAGGTGAACAGTTGTAGAATACACTGCAAGTGACCTAGCTGACAAGTGGATGTTCTATGCAGCCAGTCAGCCCAAGTGGTTTAAACCCATGGCTGTGAAAGAATAATCTGGATGACTGTTACCATTTCAGTAAGCAACATATCTTTTTTCTTATCACTTTAAGAGCGGCCAGCTCTGGGTACCAGCAGGAGCTGTCAGATTCACCCAGTTCCACTTTGCCTGTGGCAGCTACCCTACCTCATGCTATACCCACATTTCACCCCACCCTGTCAGGCCCTACCTCCTGCCCCATCCACCTGGAGGTTTGCTTCAGGATTTGATATTTTTGTGAGGCTGTGTCTGAAAAAGATGGTCAAAACCCCTGACTGTAGGAAGGAGGCGAGAATGACATTGGTTTAAAGAGACAAATATTCAGATTCAAACATCAGATATTGGCTGTGATCACAGAGAAGAAGCAACTCTATTTCAGATGTTAGCAGCACTGATTTTTGCATTAGGCTTTGCATCTCAAAGACTGTGCCCACATTAACCCAGTTAGTGCACAATGCAGAGGCTGCTTTGCACCCCTCTATTCAGACAAGCTTTAGCAGGTGCATGTTACTTGGCCATGTAGGCACACGAAATGACAATCAGGAAAGCTGAAGAATGAAATGGAAGAGCAAGGTGATGACCAAGCAGTGTGAAGATGACTGTGGCAGCTCTTCTGGATTTTCTTGACAGATTTGAAATGAAAATGTTTAATCATTTCTACTGCTGCACTGAAGAATGGAAGAGGCAGAAGGAAAACAATGTCTGTTTTGGCATCTTTCCATCTTTAGGTGAGCAAGGAAAAAGAAGCTAGGCCATGAACAGAGAAAGAAAATAGTTTAAAATCTCACCCACAAGTAACTACTTCCTCCTCTGTCCCAATACAACCCTTAAAATTGAGGTGCTTTCAAAATGTTCTACAAACAGTTGTATGAAGGCTTTGGGGAAAAAAAAAAAAAAAAAAAACAAAACAACAAACATCCCTGCAATTTTTTAGCCAACCAGGAATACTGCCTAATAACTCAGAAACCAAAGGCTGGGAGAAAGGTCATTCAGCTCCCCTCAACCCACACACATGGCACTGTTCTTTCCCCAACCAGCAGTAAGTGTAAGAAATGGGAAAAGCTGTAGATATGATATTCATATGGTATAACTTTTATATGAACAAGTCAGACTTTCTTTGCAATGTGCAGTAACAATATTCAGTAGAAACTGGAAATTCATTCTGAAGAGAAACATAATGAGCCAGCTCTATATCTGCAGACGAAATCTAACATCTTCCTGATGCTCAAATTTAAAACAACTTCGCTTTAAATGAGACTGAAGTGTTTCCTAAAGTATAAGCAGAGTACGGGCAGATGTTCTTTACATCACCTACACCAGTCTACTTTTTAAAAGCATCTGATTATGAAGGGTAAATCTAAAATAGAAAGTTGACACAGTCATAAAATAAAAGGTACTAGAAGTCACTTAATCCCTTTTTTTTTTTTTGGTGCATGTTTTTGCCAGCTGTAACAGAAGTGGCATTATTTGCCTGAATCTAGAGTAGAAAAATCCAAATTTACCCCTAAGAGAGATCAAGAGATTTGTCTGAATGTCAAAGGGGGTCCTATGATGGCTACCCTCTCTTTCTACTGTCTTAGGAGCCACTTAGTTTAGTACTTTCACAGCCACCCACACTTTTCAGGAGGCATTGATCTAAATATCTGATGGGAAAGAGACAATTGTTATATTGTCTATCCGCTATTTCATTCATAAAGAATGGATTGAAAGTTTGATGGAAAACACCAGTAGAAAGAATGTTTCATCAAGGAGGCTGCAAGTCTGCTCATTTCAACTGCCAAAAAGGCTCACAGAAGATATTTATGCCATAAAGCAAGCTTGTGTCAAGAGTTAAAATCAGACTTCAAAACACTTCTTAGCTATGAGCAAAAGCCACAGTATTAGGAAATCCTGTCTGCTTATCTCAGGGAGGCTAAACAAGTTCTAGTTACCCATCCACTCACAGGAACTAAGATGTTTAAGCAATGTGGTTCATACAAGTTGCACTGCAAAAAAGCAAATTAAAACCAATTTTCCTGTATCTCAGCTCTCCTACTCATCTGTATTTCATGGCACTGAAAAGAGATTCACTCACTAATTAAATCAGACTGAGACAGATGCAAATGAGGATATTTTCTTAACTATTCTAAAAGATGTCTTATCCAATAGAGAAAGCATGGGAAGTCCAACTAGCCGGGAGGAGAGCTTGAAAGAAAAACAGTTCATGAAAACAGTTCCTCCCATTTAAATTACATTAAATGGCACAAAGACTTTGAGAAAATCTAGTAAACATTGTGACAACTGCATCTGATTACTGAAAACAAAAGGTATTTTGCAAATTTTTCCTGTTCTGCTGACACGCAGATATTTTGCCTTTAAAAAAAAAAAAAAAAGAAGTAGCCAAAAAATTTCCAATCTTTGGCTTGCCACGGAAAAGTTTGTATTAATTAATTTTTACTGACATAATAGCTGGTAGAAGAGCATTTCATTATTTACCATGCAATTAAAGCACACTTCCTCTTAATTAGCAGTTAACCAAGCTTTATTCCATCTGGAAGTATCAGTCTGGAAGCTGTTCGTTATAAGGGACAGATTGTGCATTGGGGCAGTCGTACACACACAGTTGGCAATATTTATTTTTATAACTATCTTATTAAATGGGAAAACACAAATGGTTTAGTCATGTCAAGTAGGTCCTGAAGTAAATGTTAATTACCAACAGACTGTTGCCACTTCAGATACAATGCCTTGCTGTTGTTACCAAATTTAGCAGTCATGAATTCATAATTCTGAGGGCTTTCTGCAACAAAAATGAGCTCTAACTCCAAATAAAGGATCTTATTGTGACTTGACTCCATGGCCCTGTGGTCTTCCCGCACAGGAAAAGTGAAACCAAACTTTTATTCTCTTTTTCTCAGTGGGCCTTTTCACTGAAAAACGTGACAGTTTGCTGCACAACTGTCACTCCCCACTTCGGCCCATACAGCAACTTTTAGAAGTTTGGAAAAGCATCATGTGAGTTAGAGCAGTCACTAAACTGTGTTTTCAAGGCTTCTACTCCAACACTTCCTTAAAATAAGTAAAAGCGTTAATAGCTTGCATGAGACAGGCATATTCATGACAAAGACTTCAAAAGACTGTACACAAGAGATCTCCCTGACTAGGTAGTTATCCACATAGAGATCAAAGCAAGTCTTACAAAAAGGTAGATTTACCTAAACCTTCAGACTCAAAGAGATAAGTCTCATCAACTCCAATGGCCCTACACCAGTTAAGAAAGTTGGCTGTATTATCTCTGGCAAAAAAAGATCCTGATGGTGCATCCTTCTTACATGGAACTTTTCTCATAGGAAAATTCTGGCAAGGGAAGAAAACAAAAAGTACATTGTGCACATCAACATTGCCAACAGATTTCAAAGCATATTTGCAAAGGAAAATAAACCCTCAATTCAGAGTACAGAAACAGTGGTTAGTAACTATTTTGTGTGCAACCCACCATGCATTCTATTAAAAAAAGCCACACTAATGTAGAAAGCATTCCACCCTATCGTTGTGAACAGTCATGGAGTAAACAATCCTTAGCTCTGCAGCCTTTCCCAGAGGCTGCCTATACAGTTGGTCCCCCATTTCCCCACATGCTGGGGTAGAAATCTTATTGGTGGTTTCACAGGTTTGGATAATTATTCGCCCTTCCCAAGCTCTGTTCACAGCAGCAGAATGAGCACAGACAGAGAACTCCAACTAAACTGAAATATACTCAGCTGCCAGACTTCATTTTAGAGCCTGTTCTAGAAAGCAGAGGGAAACAGAAGGGAACAAGGGGCAGTTTCCTTTAAAGGAATTCAGTACTTATTTGATTTTAAATTGGTATCTTCAGAACTAAAAATTCAGTTCACAGATACACAAGTTATGAATCTTGTCTTCCTTTGAAAAAAAAAAAAAACAAAACCCAAAAACAAACAACTAAGGATTTGGAGAATTCATATGGCTCTTGAATAAATACACTTTGGCATCCTAAAACTTATCCCCCCAGTTAATAATAATTCTAATATTAGTAGTTATATTACTTACTGGTAAATATCCATTATTTGAAACTATTGTTTTACTAGATAAAACAGTAAATGGTAACCACAAAATAAAAATGGTCTGGATATGGCGAGCAGTGCCTCCTGCCCCCAAGGGAAACGCTACCAATCAGGGCACATTAGCTGGTGATCTACTATTTGACAAATCTAAGCACTGCTGTAGCTATACCCCTGTAGGTTGAACATATGCTACCTACATGGCTTTATACTTTAAAGTAACAAATCAGTATTTTTCATGGGACAAACACAGACTGGAAGTTGCTTGAGATTCACATTTTAACGCAGTCTTGGTTCCCAACAAAAACACTACAGCCCATGTCCAGGTACATCTCAGTTTGGATATTTTGATGGCTGGCCTACATTCTAGAGTTTAGCCACCAGTTTTGAGCATAAAACATACCACCAAGTGCCAATGGATATCTTGTTACCAACCCACACTGATGTCAGGGGAACAAACTCCAGACTTGGACTAGATCTTCCTCAGACAAGGCTTCTACTGGAATTAAACTAAAAACCTGATAGGATTTTATTAACAAAGCATATAAGTAATTTTTTGCACAAAGCTTACCCATCTGTAAGCCACATTATTGTTAATCAGCCTCTTTTTACTGCCACTTATAATTAAAAAGTTTATGTATGCATTAAAAAAAAAAATAATAAATCACAACTTACCCTTAAATTATTTGAGCTACAACATTCTTTAATTGTGTTTTGAAGAACACCAACCAATTGGCAGAGTAGTACCCCATTATCAAGTTCTTCTAGCAGTTGTTCTGCTTTGATTTCTATTCCTAAAAAAATCAATATTAGAGTTACTCCAAAGAAGGTACAGAAGTTTCATATGAACTTAGAGGCAACTCAAATAGCATTCCAGTGTTAAACACTGAAAATTAATAGAAAAATATAAGTAAATTAAAATCAAATATCCATTTAATTAGATTTTAATTAGACTACCAAGATTCAGCAAATAAATTAGAATGGTTTATCATCCTACCTCTAAGAAGTGGCAGCTCATTAAGTCCAAAACCAAAACATGCATTTTAATGCAATTCTCCTAGCCATTCAGGCTCAGATACACCAGATCTTAACAGTACTATAGGTATTAAGTGTCAGCATTGACTGGAATATTGGAAAGTGCTTTGAAATTTATTAGTGATTTTTAACCTCACCCAGCAAGCCAGACAGCCAGATTGACAGATCTTCTTGCATAGGCACCAAAGTTGCTTCATGCCGCACAGATATCCATCGGTCATACAGGCACACATCTGCCAAACCTGGTCCATGTCTGGGAGTTAGAGGACTGCGGGGACTTAAGGGAAGGTCATCTCCAAACCACACCTGCAGAAGATGTCAGGAAGCTGCAGACAGCGAGGTCTAGTATTTGCAGACATATTGCAAAAATTTGCAGTTCTGAATTATGCTGAAGATTACTCAAACAGTAAGTATTCATTCCCCTTCAGACAGATACACCAACACAGCAGCAGTCACGATGGTGCAACTCGCATTAATAATGCCCACATCAAAAGTACTACTACATCCATTCTCTTGACTTCTTTGGATTTAAAATTACATATTTATCAAATGAAGAAAATGTGCATTAAATTTGTGGGTTTTTTTTCTTTTTCTCAACAAATTTAAGTAATGAAATCTGAAGTTTGTCATATAATTTACTACAGCCTACTGATTTCTCTGACATTCATTTCAGAAGCATTTAGTGTTTAAATCATTAAAATGACGACGTTAAGAGGAAACATATTTTGCAAGAACATAGCACAGTGCTTGAACATGAATCCTTAGCATTTCCCTTAGGGATTTAATATTTTCATATTGGAGAGGTACTTTACATTTCAAGAAAAGTACCACACTGAAATTTGATGCACAAAATTCCTGAAGACAAAGAGGCCCTTTGGTATTCTTAAATACTTTCCTTCAGTTCAGCGTGTGTACAAAAAAAAGATAATTTTTTACACTTACATAGGAGTTTTAAAAATTCCTCTTAATCAACAAACAAGTTCTTCAATAACTCAGCATTTGACTTCAAAGCCTTAGCTAACAGCATTTAGGAAGAGAACACCAGGTTATATATCTTTTCACATTGCACCATTGGCAAAATGGGAAAACAAGTAATCTTTTTTAATAGAGACAACTTGGGGGTGTTCTAGCATTTCATCTGCTTCACGTTACATTTTTGCATTAAAACAAACAAAAAAAATATCATAAGGGATTCAAACATTACAAAAGCCATTTACCTGAACTGCATTCTGCATGGTTACCTGCATTTACATTAGTTGCTCCCTCTAGAAAAAGAGAAGAGTATTTTTATTACAGTCCCTCCTGCTTTCAAGAAAAACCCCCCAGTGCTGCTTTGGTAAAACAGGGACAAGTCTTATCGGGAATGAAGGAGGAAAGAGGGAAGTATCTTAGTAGCTAATGTTTTGATGCAGTATTCAGTCAATGTCAGCTCTGTGCCCTTAAGTAAAGGCGCAGTTATTACAGCACAAAGAAGCAACTAACTTCATATGCATAAATAATAGTCAAGTTTGCATGATTTTAAGGAGCTGTAAGGCATTTACTTTACCAAAGAGAAATATAAATACTCCAAACCATTCTTGGATGTAACAGTGTTGGCATTCACCCTTTCTTTTTAAGCTACCACACAGGTGTATCTTGTACACACATGCATGTGCATCTATGTATCCCAAGTTTATATTAAATACTTTTAAGTTTATGAAAATCTTAAAGCAAAGAATAATTTTGAAGAATGAGACTTCTTGCATTGATACATGAGAGAAATCAGTATTTTTATTAATGTCTGTTGGAATTTTGTATTTCCAGGCAACCAGCACATACCTGTGTTTTCAACAAGCTGTTGCAGCAATACGGTTATCAGGACACTTCCCTGGCTTTTCTCTCCTGAAGCCAACACAGTATTTTAAAGCAATGCTTTCAATCACATGAAAACTCAGCACAAACTCTACACTGGGCTTGGGATCAATCAGTAAGTCTCTTAATGTAGGCTCCAGGTCTAGAAATGCACAGTATTACCAGGATAGCTGCATACACACATACCAGAAGGAATTTCCTCAGCATAGCTCTCCAAAGTGGTAGTGGAGAGCATTACAACCTCAAAATGTACCTGTGTCCTGAAGCCACTTATAAACAACTTTCTTGCTCCATCACTTAATAGTTGCAATAAAACTTCATCTGGCTGATGAAGCTGGAAACCAGATTGCAGACACTGTCAGACAGTTTAAACTCATCTGTTTTCCTTTAAAAATAAATAACTTCCCTCTCGTGTCCCAGATGTTTAAGCTTTATATGTAGATGGCATTCTTCTCCACATGATGTGCAACTTGGCCTTCCTATAACAAAAGGCTCTATGGCCCACCACAGAAGACCCCATTCTTGCAAAAAATTCTCCCCCTTCCTCTTAGCCAGAAAGCAGAATGGTGCTGTTTCCTTCCCATTTTTCCCTCTCACGCTACATAGGACCACACATCAGGCATTTCAACCAACTTACCCCTATGACCAGCTAACAAGCAACCAGTTTATTTTCAGGCTGAAGCCACTTCTTTGAACCAGGACTGCTAGCGCTTCTCAAACTTTATCAGGGACACTCCAAGTGATATTTTTTTCCCCTCCTTTTATTTCTAGGGGAAAAAAAAAAAAGAGGACATCCTCTCCTTGATGTCATTTTTCCTGCTATGAATGAACAAGAGAAGGGCAGTGTATATACCAAGCATTACTAATGAGCATGTTATGCTTCCCACAGCTTTGTCCAGGGCAATACATTTTCCTTTAGCAAAGAAAGCTATTGTCCCAAGAGAGTCGCAATAAGAGGCTCCATTGATTAAAAAAAATAAATAAAACAACAGCAGAACAGCCAGTAGAGAAGCTGGTCTCATTAAAATAAGGAGCTCCATATAGGCTAACAAGCGCTCTAGCATACTAACTGCCCAGGAAAACAAAAGGCAGCCTAATTCACAGGGAGCACTCAAAACACGAACAAAGCAAAATATTCACGCAGCAGCTATCACAAGAATGCTCAGCATCTGCAGTTTTGTGGCATGCCTAACAAAAACTAGTCAAAAAAAGAGAAAAAAAAAAAAGATAAAAAAGAAAAGGGATTGAGGAAAATTGTGGCACTTGATCTTTAAGAGCCTGCCCTTCTAAAGTAAGTTATTTTGTAAGCCCATATGCCAAAGGGCTCTCTAGAAAGTCAAACAGATTCATTTATCAGGGCATCTGAATAACACTTAATAAATGACCCTTTGATGATATAGACTACCCTGCACAAATTTTGAGTTGAAAAATATAGTAACAATTACCCATTTTCAGAGCCCGAACAGTCCAGCTCTGAGACTGCAGAGAATAAAGATTAATGTAGCCTTATCACTTACAGGGACAGCAAGTAGGATGAGAAGACCCAGAAGTCTGCCACCTTCAAGTATTCGGCCTGCAAGGGTGCAGAATGTGCTGCGGTGAGGCGAATACTGCAGTACTGTGTGGAGTCATAACCAAATCTGACAACTTCTAAAACCAGTTGGGTTTCCTGCATCAAAAAGCTCTACGTAATGAATGAATCAAGTATTTGATATTGAATTCAGGCAGCTCCAGCTAGAACAGTATCAGTTTCTGTACATACCAGTTTTATCAACTCACCTTCATTCAACAGGCATTTAGTGTTCAGGGATCACAGCTTAAAAGAAAATACCACAGAATGAAAATGGACTGTATCATATCATGTCCCATGCATAGCCTCAGGCCATACCATTCCCATTTCCCAGCCAGCTGATGTCCTCAAGGTCCTTAGGAGGAGTCTCTACCTGCTTCACCCCTTAAAACAGGGGAAGCACCAGAAACTTGCAAGCACTTCCCAATCAGCGGGACAACCAGCCTAGCTCCAAGCTCAGTAAACACAGAATTCTCCCGCCACTCAGCGAACATCTCACTTCTGTGGGCACTCCTGTTGCCAACAGGCTCCACGGGATGGGAGGAGAGTGGAAACACTGCCCAGTCCTAGTGGTACCTTACATCTAGAATAATGCAACAACACTGACTTATTGCAAGACAGGAGGTCAGCCCCAAATGATATAGTGGGGAAGGCAGGAGCTGCCTTTGTCTGCCTGACTGGCAAACGTCCACTAAACGACTAGAACTATGGATCAGCATTAGGAAAGACAGAAAAATGTAGCTATCTACTGACATGTGGCATAGTGACGGGCATTTCTGAAGAAAAGGAGCGCAGATACCCTGGACATGAACCTGCACATGACAGCCTTGCAAGACCATAGTCTGCCTCTATTCTCCAAAGGGATGCCCACCACTTTGCCCTCAGGCAAGCTCAGAAACAGCAAAGTCAGCGAATACTAAAACACTTTATACAAATACTTCAGGGTGCTAAACACACTCTCTCAGATGCTACACAAGATAGCCTGGTTAGTATCAGTTGCCCAACCAGCAAGACATGCTATATTAATTACACTCTGTCGCACAAGATAAACCGAGTCCAAGTCCCATTTTACTTGGCTGCACGGTTTACAAAGAAATAAACAAAAAATCCACAATTCACAGATGCCCAAAACATAGATGAAGCAGCCACTGACTTAGCTTAAATGGAACCTAAAGGGATTCACAACCTGATTAAAAGGCCTTGAATGCACAGACCCATTAAAAAAAACTTAGGTAGAAACACTTTTACATCTTCACCCTATATTTAAGATATATAATGCATCATCTTCTATTCCATCAACACCCAAAGGCAGTCACAACAGACTTACCCAGAGCAGCTGGAAACTGTAGATTAGCTTTGACAGTACCTACTGAAACCCACATTTCAAACATTCTGAAATGAAAGAAGCTGTCAAGTCAGTATCTGTTGAAACCGACTACAGGATAGCCAAGATTTCTTTTGGTTCACATATCCTAACATGCAGAAGAGGTAGGTACAAGAGACATCCCTGCAGCAGAGAGCTACTCTCTGTCACTAAGCAATTATAGAGCCCTTTTGTTGCATTACTGAGTCAGCAGGAGCTCTGTTTCCTTGGGGAGGCCTCAAAGGCACAAAAGAGAAAGAACCAGACTAGTCAGTCCAAGGTGATGGGCTTTAAGGTAGCAACCATCTACTTACATTAAGGCAGGCTGACTGCTCTCTTCCAGGACTGCCTTTCTGTACCTCTCCGTGGCAGTGAGCCCACTCTCCCCTTCCAAAGGGTGGCAAAGGCCCTGATTCACCTGTCAGGGCAGAGAAATCCACTTGAAATCAGGGAGGAGCACTTCATCGCAGGAGCCGCCATCTCCGCGCCAGACGTGCAGACGGCTCCTTTACCACAGGAGCATCCAGTCTGGGGAGAGGCTGGTTAACCGGAGGCACACCACCCTGCTACCCCTGCACTCAGTAATGCTCACAGACAAACCCTCCTCTCCCTCCCATTTACACCCCACACTTCTTCCCAGCTGAGCAACATTGAGGGGAGCATCACCTGATACTCAGGGAACAAGCTGCTGGCTGGCCATAACCAGGAGAAATTTGTTTTGACTTAAATATAAAATCCTGTCTTATTGTGAAAGATCCACTTAGTACATTTAGAATTACAAATGCATAGGCCAGCTATACCTTAGAGGTTCTAAAGGTACACATGCCCTTTTTCCCCATTCCTTGTTCTTATACTATAGCAAAGATGACACACAGTATCCTTGGAATACAGCCAGCTTTTGGGCAAATGAAGGAGACAGACATTTTTCAGCTTAATAAACAATATGAAAGAGTATTTTAGCCAAAAGCACTAGGGCAGTTTTCCTACAAAAATAGCACAGCATCCTCAAACGCTTGCGTGAGGCACAGGAGAGACTGGTTTAAAGGCTGTTATGCAAAAACTCTCCCCTCTCCCTTCCCCAAGGTTAGTTTCACTGCACTTCACTTCCAACATCCATGCCAGAGAAGCTGACTAGGCCAGACGAGAGCTGCTGCCCGCAGAAGGGTGACCCGTCCCAGTGACAGCCTTAGCCCAATACCGTGAGGCGCGCCGATGCTCAGCCTGTTTCCAGCACTACCTCTATAGACAGGCGTAACTGACCGAGTGCCACCGCTCGGTTCCCGTGCGCCCGATGCACCGGCGCAAGCGTGACCCTGCAGCAGCAGAGCCCCGGTCCCCACGAGGGGACAGACCTGCCGCCTCTCGGGCGCCCCTCACCGTCCCCGCACGCCGTGTCCACAGCACTGCCGCCCCCCAGCCCCACCCCTCTGCGGGGAGACCCGCGCACTGCCACTGACGCTGACGCTGCTACCGCTACCGCTACCGCCACCGCCACCGCCACCGCCACCCTGATCCGTGGCACCGCGCTACCCACCGGGACCGGGACGGGGACGGGGACGGGGACCGACAGCTGCCACGGCGCCGCGCAGCAGAGCGGAGCGGAGCACTCACCCCACTCGCTCCGCGCCGGCCGCTCTGTTCGAAAGGGCCAATCAGCGCCCGCGGGGCGGAGCCGGGGCGTGCCTGCCGCACCTGGCCCTGAGCCGCGGCTCTGCCCGCGCGCTGCGCCCAAGGCGAGACCTTTGGTTTCGCCGCGCTTCCGCTCGCGGAACCCGATTTATGCGGGGCAGCTCGAGGGTCTCCACCGCAACCCGCGCCGGCTCGCCTGAAGGCCTTGGGTAGCGGGGCCGCTCCTCCGGCCTCCCGAGAGGCGGTTCAGGGCGCAGGGTCACGGCTCCGCTGGCAGCCAGGGCGCCTAGGCAAACCTTGCCTCCCCCCCGTGCCGCCGGAGGCTAGGTCGGGTGTCGGTGTCCCGCCTGCTGCGGCGGCGGGGCCGGAGGGCTGCTGGCTCGGTCGCTGTGGCAGATGGTCCTACCGCCCGCCGGCCGCTCCAGCTGAGGTGAAATCACTCGCCTCAGCCTGCCCTCCTCATGTCACCAACCGCCTCTGAAAGAAGCTGTGCTCCATCGGGGCCGCCATGGCGGGCTTGGTCACGGCTGGCGGGAGCAGGGGCCTGGCTGCGCGGCGGTCAGGGTAAGCGCCGGCCCGCGGAGGGTCTTGCACTTCTGGCAGCAGGGCGGAGAGCTGTTTCTGCGCCCAACGCGTTACCGTGCGTCTCGCGCTGCCGGCCGCGCAGGGCCAGCGTTTGGAGAACACGGTCACATCAGTACCCCGGCCATCTGGGATCCTGGGAGCGGACCCGGGCACAAGGAAACCACTCACTCTGCCTGCAGCCCCGCACAGCACTCGGACCACTTACCTGTTTCGGGGATGTTGGTGATGGTGTTGTTCAGAGCCGCTGAACACCAACAATCAAAGTCTTAAAGCAAAATAACCTGTGATGCATTTTAACAAAGTTTAGATACTGTATAATTTTTACTTTGAAATAATAATTCAAAAGAAGTTACACGTTTATATCATGAAAAGGTTGTTTGGGGTTTCCCTGTGTGTGTATGAGGCTTTTCTCCATTACATAATTTTTCATCTTATGAAGAAATAACGTCTTGCACATCTTACATGAACACATTTCACAGTTGAGCCGCAAATGACTGGCATTAACCGTTTCAGCTGGTTTATTAGGTAAGTATCTGGAATATAATGGCGGCCGAGCACAAAAACATTGCAATGAAAAAAATATGAATGCTAACCCCCTTCATCAAGAGAAAGTGTAACTGCAATCAGCTTAATTGCAGCAGAATTACCAGGGTTCCTCTGAAGAGCTGGTGGACTGTTTCTGATCAGAGAATATAAATACAGAGAAAGTTGTACTTACGTGTGAAGATCTGAAAGCTATGCAATATTCTGTGTACAGTGAACAAAATTACTTTCATGAATCCATGGCATGTTTCTATAAAAATGCAGTAAAGAAAATTTAATGTACTGTGGGATATCGTTCTATGAAAATAAATGCTATGTGGTCCTTTAAAAAGATTCTTTTAAAATAAAAGTATCCATCACTGCACATCCCAGATCTCACAGAGCAGAGGTGTGAATTTGTGATCATTTACTCTCCACGACATCAGCATCTCTGCGTGATGATGGTTGAATGTCCGTAATTCCGTCAGACGGCCCAGGAGGCATGCAAAGTGTTGAGGGTTATCTGGGTGGTGAAGTTTGCAGAATTTCTGTAGTATATCCAGCAATGGCTCTTGAAGTCTTTCCACGGACTCCCTGTCCCTTATGTATTGTCGATCTGGTTATGGTTTTAAAAGGAAAGAAGTAATTAGCAAATATATGCTCTGATACAATGTAAATATTTTCACTGGTAACTGAATATAAAAATATTCCAGTATTTGCACTGGGTACTGGTGTTCACACAGAATATTTGTATTCATATTAAGGGGGAATAAAAATAGTTAAGATTTTGTTTGTTTGTTTGTTTTTTGTTTGGGGTTTTCATGTAAGATTCCTACTTCTATCTAGGGAACGCTTTCAACTTTGTCAAAAACTGAACAGTTTTAACTTGGAAATATTTCTTTGGGGTTCAATTGTCATCTCTTAGTGCAGTTCTGCACCCGAGTACAGCCTGTGATGCACTGAAGCAGCTGAACAGCACAGCATAAGTTCTTGGAGGTGTTGTACAGCTGGGGAATTTGGCCAGTAGAGTGTACATACTGGTCACCAGGGAGAATCAAACATCTTCATCCTCTAGTGAAACTTCTTTGTTAGAAATTGTTCTTTTAATTTGCTGATTTGTGTGTGTTTGGGTACTTGGAGAGGGAAGAAAAGAGAGAATTTTTTTTTTTTTTGTCACTGAAAGTTTTGATGAAATTTCTTGGGCCACACTGACTGAAAGAGCAATGCAATTGCTTCACCTTCCTATTTTCCATGAAACCTCAGTGTCTGTCTTTTGTACTGAACCATCAGCTTCTCCCATTCCTATGACAGTCAATTTGTTTGAGTCACTATACAATTACTCCATGTTTCATAGGCAGAGCTAGTTTTGTGTTGTCGAAGGATTAGTTTTTTTACAGCAAAGCCTCTAATCAGGGCTGAGATGCTATTGTGCTGATACTTCTGAAAAGGTCAGCTTCCAGCACTTTATAGTCAAGAGGCCTACTTGCTACCGTCCTGCTCTTGACACCCTACTGTTTGTTCCATAAAGGCTGAAGACCTTTACTGCTATTCTCTAAGTTACAGAGTTTCCAATTTCCCTCTAAAAAATAGTAACATTCCACAGTGGTCTGTATTGTTGTGTGTGTAACCACAACTGGGATTTTCTGAAGGAAAAAGCCTGTTGTGTTAAGCAGTGAAGACATACCAATACTTTTTTTAATCATTGCATGTAGGCACATTTTTCCCTTCTATGCAAAACCAGATGGCATAGGAGGACATTTGGAGCTTGGATTTGTGTGTTTGTTTTCTGGTTTAACAACTGAATATACTGAATAAGCATGTATGGTCACTCTATGTAGAATGTAAGTTTTTACAAGTCCCAGGTCATACTCCTCCTGCTTTCTTTCCCAAACCA